TGATTCAAGTATATATAGTCCATCTACCTGGAGAATCAGCCCAGAATTTTAATGAATCTGGACTGATGAATAGAGTATAAATCCATTCTTCTCAGACACTGTGCTCCCCACCCTCTCCACCATAAAACTCTTCACAGCTCTTTTGCTGCCCAGGTATCCATGCCATGGTCCGTGTAGCACATTCAGGGTCCTACTAGCAGAATATAGTCTCCTAAAACAGAGCACTCTTTGGAAGGTATTGCAGGGAAGCAGAATAGAGAGGATTCATTCAGAATTCCCTTATAGTTTTCATTCCCCATGTCTAGCTGTTGTGGGCAAACAGCTGAAACTGCTATATTGACTGTCCGCTACTGAAAACCAGATGATGTTCTCAAGCTTCCAGACCTGCATCATAACCCTGAAACCAGATACACACACCCAGCATTTCTGGGGGTCATTTTCCTGCAGAGTTAAAAATCACACATTCTTCAAATTATAGGTGAATCCTAATTGTATAACTCAATTAGGTTTGATGAGAGTTTTTAAAAAGCAATACTTTTAAAGAGGCTTCTTCTAGTAAGTCAGACAGAAAAAGACAAATATCATATGATATCACTTACATGTGGAATCTAAAAATATGATACAAATGAACTCATTTACAAAACAGAAACAGACTCACAGACAGAAAACAAATTTATGCTTACCAAAGGGGAAATGTGGGGAGGGATAAATTAGGAGTTTGGGATTAGCAGATGCAAACTACTATATACAAAATAGATAAACAACAAGGTCCTACTGTATAGCACAGGGAACGCTACTCAATATTCTGTAATAACCTATATGGGAAAAGAATCTGAAAAAGAATAGATATTTGTATATGTATCACTGTTTCACTCTGCTGTACAGCAGAAACACAACATTGTAAATCAACTATACTCCAATATAAAATTAAAAATTAAAAAAAAACAGAAAGAGATTCACAGACATAGAAAACAAACTCATGGTTACCAAAGGGGAAAGGAGGGGGAGGGATAAATTAGGACTTTGGAATTAACAGATACAGACTACTATATATAAAATAAATAAACAACAAGGACCTACTGTATAGCACAGGGAACTATATTCAATATCTTGTAATAACTTATCCGATAATGGAAAAGAATCTAAGAATATATACTTCTACCTTCAGGTGTCCAGTTTACACCTGAAACTAACACAGCATTATAAATCAACTAAACTTCAATTAAAAAAAATAATAAGGAGGCTTCTCCTGAGAAAGAAGACAGAGCTTTTGAACAGAAGTGTTCAGTTGAGCAAACAATTCAGAATGGCCCAGATTGTAGGTAGGGGCTCAAAAAATTAGAGGGTCTGAGGGAAATGAGACGGGCCAAAAATAAATTTAACCTAAAATAAATTTAACTGCCTACCTACCAGGAACACAGGAACATTTACTTTTAGGGAAAGTCTAGATTACACTGCTATGGAATCCATAAATTCTGAGAGTCAAATAATAAAAGGAGAAAAGAGAGAGGCCCTGGTAAGTGTGGGTGGCACAACTGCGTGTTTGGTGAGATGGGGTTTTTCGAAAATGCTACCATTTGTAAAATGGGTTTAAAATAATATTTTGACTAGTGATTTCATGTCTGTAAAGGGTATTAATTATTTTGGAATTTCCTCCTATGTTGAGATGCTTTGTGTTTTGAACACACTGATTAGTTAATCTGCAGCTGCTGCTCTGGGTGCTCAGCAATTGTCACTGTCTTGTTGCTATGCAACGAGGACTGTCCCCCAAATCGCCAGTGTGCCAGGCCCTGTGAAGAGCTGGTGGGGTCTGCCTACTGGCCACAGTGCCACCAAGCGGTCGTTCTGCAAAACAGTGGCACCAAGCTGGTTCGTCTCCATGGCTGTCTAATCACGGCCCCCTAAGGTCGTCTCTGCTCCAGATGAATTAGCAGGTTCACTAAGCAATGGGGAATTGTTTATTCTTTTCATATTCTTCCCAACACAGTGAGGATTTTTTCACTCCAGTGAATGCATCATGCCAGCAGCACGGCAAATTTAAAGAATGTTGGACTGGTTGGCAGAAGGCATTTTTGTTTACCCCTACATTGACCTCTCTTGGACATAATTTGCTCTTCTAAACAGTGAGGGGCTTGGGTTAGGTCTCCCAACGTCCCATTCCTTCTACTCTAAAAGTCGAATTCTTTGCTTCTGTTACGTGTGGTTTTTATAAGGAGCATAACCTTGAAGCTGATCCTGGTCCAGCAGCTCCAACAGATCTTGCTTCTGTTGCTTCAAGCAAGTTTGGCAGGTGGCAGCAAGGCTGGAGGGTGAAGGGAAGCACTGCGCCCACCAGGAGAGCCAAGAGTGCCAACCTTATCTGGCAAATGACTCTGCTCCCCACATGCTTGGTGAAGGTCCCCCTGGATGAAACTGCCCTTGCTGAGAACTCTGGCCCAGGGCATTCATTGGTCCCAGGCACCCTGGGGAAACCTGTGACGGAAGGTCCACAGGGAAGTGTACCTGAGCAGGATGTGCTGATGGACTTTGGGCAGCAGGCTGGTGGCACTAATGATTTCACTGACAATTAGAAGGAAAGGAGAAATTCGAGTTCCACCTCAAAGGATGCGACCCTGCCCCTTCCTCTGATGGTCTGTGGGCACCTGGAGCCAGGGAGGGGAATTGCTCTCCTCAGAACCCTGCTTCCCATTAGCTTTCCTGAACTCCTGTTTGGAGGCTACATGAATCTACATTTGTGATGCACCTTGTCATGTGCCTGATAAGGAGACTGGAGTTGTTTTCTTATTCCCCCCAACAGCCTGCCTCCCTGTGCTTGGCAGGTAAACGTGAGGTATGGTGAATGTTGTTCCTGTACTGCTGGGACTTATGCAAATCTTCATCAATCTGTGCGTTACATCCAGTTTCTTCCAAATTCAGGATCAAGTGAGACAACAGGAATCCTAAATATTAAACTAAAAAAATAAAATAAAATAAAATGAATTATCCACATGCTGAGAAAATGTAGCTGAATTATCATAGGTCATGAGACTTCAGAGCTCTCTCCATTGTGATTTGATTAACACTCTTAATTTGTCATTATTTGGGGGGATTTAAAAAAAAACTAATCTCGATAACAAGAGTTTGTAAGAGGTTGCCTCACGGAATTTCCACCCACTGGGGGAAACTCACAGAACATTAAGGACAGAATGGAGCTTTATAATCATCTAGTCTTTTTTGGTTTTAACTGAGACCTAAAATACATATATAAATAAAATTAAAGTAAATGAAATTTTACTTGTTACAATCTCACTTTAAAAAATAAATTTTTAAAAAAAGTACTGCAGGGTCTCTTCTATTTTTTAACAACTCTGGGCCACAAAATACAAGGGCCATGTGACATAAACATCTGGCTCATTTTGTCTGGTCAGCCATTGGCTGATAGGATAAGGAAGAATATGTGGAGGGGAAAGAAAACGAAGAAAATACAAGACACTTTTTATCTTCTGACTTTGATTAAAGAAAGCACCTCCACTTAAATGCATCAGCTCTCTAGATGTTTTGTGGATGGAATACTTTATTGTTCTCATTCTTTGCCCCAAATATCAAGCCTAATCTTGTCTTGTTTCCCTGTGTCTGCGAGGTGGGATGTACAGCTTCTTTCCCATTTCAGACGTTTAGCACCACCAGCCCAGGAACCTAGCCACAGCCAAGGAAAAGGTGAGGGCCAGCTTACTAAATTTCTAGACTCTCCTGTTAAGAATGCCACGTTCTCCCAGACCTCAAGATTTCCACGCAGGCGGCAGCCATTAGGCCCACAGAGGTCTGGATGGGTTTGGCTACTCATGTATTCCCTGGAGAGAAACCTGTCTTGTCAAGGAAAGACCAGCAGACTTGCAGTTAGGGGACCTGAGTGTGAAAAACAGCTCGGTCACACTCCGACTTGGGCAAGTCCCGTAGAGATGATAATATGAACATCACAGAATACTTGCGAGGATAAAGTGAGATAATACAGGTAAAATCACTGAACAACTGATATTATTATTTGCAATTCTCGTTAGCTAAGGTGTGAAAATGCACACCAGTCTTGTTTGAATAAGTACATCTTTAAAATGTGCTAGTCCTAGATTTGAAATAATGGAGAACTGGCAACCAGAGAAGAAAATCTCGAGTTACCACAGCCAAAGAAGAGTCTGAGCTTGCTGAGGGTATGATGATACATCCTGGAGAGAGATGAGGGGTAGGAAGTGCTGGCTGGAGAAATGGCCTCATGTCTGAGTGTCCAGGAGAAAGAAGAAAGCACTCCTTGGGCTTGCTGTCCTAGGGTATAGGGGCAGCGCCGGGCAGCCAAAGGTGTCTGCCTGAACTGCAGAGCGCAGGGAGATCCCATCTGCACTTCTCCCTTTGGCATTTTCTGGGCTTGCCCAGCCAGGGTCCCTGCTCATTTTCTTGAGTTTAACTCAGAAGAGACGTAAACATCCTGGACACAGCCTAGATGGGACACAGATGTGAGGAAAACAGCACGGCCACTTCAAATGTTTCAAGGCATCATCAGCTGGTTAGGTTAAGGGAGAATGAAAGAGAGACAGAAAAAGAGACAGAGACCAAAATTAGGCAACTCTATAAGCTTTCTTTC